TCATGTCTTGACCAGCGCGTCATAGTCGTGAAACCATCTTACCCTCCCATGCTGAATTTGGTTCACGCCAAGGGAAGTGTGTGACCACGAGAGCACCCAAACGTAAGTGGCTAGATAGATGGATAGATACGCTCAAAGTTCCCGACGTTTGCTAAGCAATGCTTCGCATTTAATGTGATTGTCCTAGCCGTACTCGAACCCCATAATTTCGCGTGGCAACGATGTATTCTACCTCAGGGTCACGCCAGGTCTCAGAACTGCTTTTGAAGTAGACCGTAATATTCGTGAACCAACTAGTGCGGTTGCACTGCTGGCTATGCAATCTTATAAGTAGCACATGCCTACTCCTATGACCATTCTCTCACGACGGTGTGCTGAACGAAGATACCAACGCACAAAGGCAATGGAAGACTTACGAATCGCTCGACGTATACAAAAGAAGATGCAGCGCCTGATAAATAAACTCGAGTCACAACATTGGGCTGTTTTTTGTGAGTCGCCTGACCTACAAAAACATTTATCACAATTGTGGAAGACGGTACGAGGTCTTCGCACAAAACCCACTCATGTAGTCACAAAACCCACTCAAATCTTTCGCACTTTCTGAACAGAGACGTGGCATTGACGTGGCAGAAGGCTTCTGTGCCCGAGTATCTGGGCCACTCGCAGTGCCCCATAGCCTATTGCCCTCGACAAATTGTGCACAAACACTGAATTCCCGCATGGATATGCCTTTTCCCATCGTTGAACTCAGAGCAGTACTAGCTTTGTGTGAACGCACGTCGGCAACAGGGCCCGATATATTTCTTATGGGGTCCTGTGTCATCAGGGTGAACGAGCGAGAATTCTGCTTCTGGAGTTGTACAACAAATCCTGGCAAGATGGAGCGCTCCCGACAAGCTGGAAGACAAACCGCCTAGTTCCACTTCTGAAGCCAGGCAAGTCACCGTTGGAGCTCTAATCTCGTCGCCCGATCGCTTTGGCCAGTTGTGTAGGTGAAGTTATGGAGAGGATGATCTTGGGACGCCTGGAGTGGTACTTGGAGTGCAACAACATATACGCAGATGCCATGGCAGGATTTCGGCGTGGACGATCATCGATTGACAACGTTGTCGACCTTGTCACTTACGTCCGACACGAGAAAGGCCGTAAGTGACTCTGCGGATCTTTGTTCCTAGACGTCAAAGCGGCGTATGACAACGTTACGCATGAAGCTGTTCTCACCGCTCTCGAAGATGTAGGAGTAAGTGGTCGGATGTATCACTAGATACGTAGCTATTTGTCACTGAACACGGGAAAAGCTCTCCACATTTCAGCCACCATGGCGTCTCCCAGGCTGGCGCACTCAGCCCTGTGCTGTTCAATCTTACGCTAATTGCTCTCACTGAGCATCTGCCAAGCGCAGTTAGGCTATCAATGTACGCAGATTATATCTGCGTTTGGGCACCGGCTGTAACATGCCTGCAGTTGCCAGGGCGAATTCAAAAAGTTGCCACTGAAACATTACGTTACCTCCGAAATCGAGGCTTGGAAAGTTTTTCTGAGAAATGCACCCTCGTAGCTTTTACACGAAAGCATATGAAAAAGTACACCATTAGCATCAACGGTCAAACTGTACCATACGGTCAATCTCACAAGTTTTTGGGCGTCATAATTGACAGAAATCTATCTGGAGCGATCACGTTTCGTACATGAAAAAAAAATGGGTAATAGACATTTGTAATATACTCAAGTTATTTGCAGGGAGGACTTGGGGAATGTCTCCCAGTGCAATGCTACAGCTGTACAGGGTGCTTTTTTCGGTTTCCTGCGGTACAGCTTACCGGCAATGACCAATGCAAGCAAAACAAGGCTACGTACGTTACAGAGTGTTCAGTCCCAGGCACTCCGGATTTGCCTCGGTTTGCTTCGTAGTGCGTCGACAATGACTACTATAGCAATCGCCGGTGACAACCTCATCACAGTACATATTGACGTTCAGGCACAGAGGACACATACAAGGCATATTTCTCGGACAGCCTGCCACCACCTAACCTCTTTACCAGCAGGCAGACCACGTTCGTCATTTTTCCAAACGGTCACCACATATCGCGATTCTTTGCCAACATGCTTCACACCCGCCACCAGACCTTCGACTCTTATTTGGTGCCCGAATCAGGCTAACATCAGGCTAACTATACCTGCCATCCAGCAAAAATCAGATATGTCATCTCCTGCTCTTGAGCAGCTTGCTCGGCTCTTGTTATACGAGAAGTATCAAGGCTGTATACACGTATACACCGAAGACTCTGTTTTACAGAAGAGTTCAACGGCATCATTGTTTTACCAATAAAAAACAGGACAAGGAAATTCAAGACCTCCCACCTTACGACATCAACAGGAGCAGAGCTAACAGCTATTCGTGCCGCACTGCAATTCATCAGCGATCAGCAGACACAAAATAAACAATTTTCAATGACTCATAGGCGGCACTGCAATCCCTTCTATCACCTTTACGCCACGGCCTGTACGAACAGCTGGTATTGAAGATTGCATAAAAGACTCACCAATTCATTGAGAAAGGAAAAAAATAGTCTTTCATTGTCTTTGAAGTCATTGTGGAATAATTGGCAATGAACGGGCCAATCGAGCTGCCCGTTCTGCCCATACTGAAAGGGATCAAATATTAATTCCGCTCTCCAGACCTGACGCTGCACGGAAACTCCGCATGCTTGCTCGCAAGCGCACCACATCACAATTGAACGAGTCATATTACATTCATGCACGATTATGTACCTTAGGCCCAACTCTCAGTCTTCGAATTCTTTCGGAATTACGCCGACAAGACGCTACTATGCTGTGCAGATTATCGTTGGGCGTCGCATTTACCAATGCGTACGCTTTCCGCATAAGAATGGCTGACACTGCTGCATGTGACTATTGCGGCAGTGAAGAAACAGCTTGGCACATTCTGTGTGAATGCCCACAATACTGCTCGCAGAGACAGTCACTCTGCAAAGCTCTAGATGAACTGGACAACCCGACTCGTTCGGAAGAAAGAATCCTCTGCTACCGACAGGACTTTATGTCGCAGAAGAAGGCTGTGAAGGCACTCCTGCGCTTCTAGCGTTAAACCGGCCTGTCCAAACGACTGTGATCGGAACTCCCTGAGTTTGTGCGCATGTGAATTCTTTCTACTTTTTGTTATATCTCTCTATGTCTATTCTCTTTCCAACCCTTTTCTCCACGCCTGTACAGGGTAGCAAACCAGTTTTTGTAAATTAACTTCCCTTTCTCTTCCTTTTATTTATTTCTCTCTCCCTCACATCAGGTTAGCGACAATTGTACAGAAGGGCCACCCACTGAAGCTCATTTATCTAGCAGTGTTCAAGGCCACCATCCTTACTGGCACAAGCGACTCAGCTTACCGCTCCTGGTATTGCTAATGCCCATCTTGCTGTTGGCATCGTTACGCAACAGTAAGCATGCGAATGTATAACATGTCTATGCGTACAAAAGTGTACATATATTTAGTGTCATTTCATAACGTTTCGTTCAATAAAATTACAACACAGTAACCCTCCCTTCGCATGCTTCGCATAACATGACAACATTCCCAAACTACGCGATATCTGCCGAATTGATTCACGTGGTTGTGACGGTGAAAAGACGAAATAGCTGCTGGTAAGGATTCAATTCTATGTTGGGCGAATTTGTGTCCAGTAGCTGAATAAGCGTTAAAACGCACAAAAGCGGCAAACACAAGCGTCCATCGCCGGTAATGTGACCTGCGGTAGGGTGAGTCGCTGGTTATACTGGTTGCATCCGATATCCCGGCCATATCACAATTGGTCACGTTGATTACACAATAAACTGCACAGTTGGTTTTCCGTGCGTGGGTTTACCAGAACCATTCGTCCTAATCGCAAACGTTTAACACACCCGCGCGGAGCGCCAAAGGCCGTCGTTACACGTATAACAGGTTGGAGTGTAAACGGCCTTAAAACACGGATATCTGTTCAACTGAGCCCTCCAAACACTCATGTTAATTTTCAATTAATGAATTCTGACGACCTATTTATCCACAACTGTTTTTAACACGCAACACCTGTTAAACGTGCGTTAGGTTAAACGTTGACGCTTACGCGAACCGAAAGAGTATATTACGGAAACCAGCAACACTGCCTCACATGCCCGTTTTCGTTTTTTTAAGTTATTCTAATCTTGAATCCTTTGAGTCGAGGTGAGAAAATCTAGGAGTAAAGTAATACACAAATGTGTATTCAAACTATACAACAATTAACTCCAAAGCAATCAATCGCGATATAAAGTTGTATTTTCTCTTTAGAAAATTCCAGTGAAGTATCATAATACCATCGACTCTTTACGTGCACCCAATGATTAGTATTACTTCCCTAGGACCAATAGTTCATAGGATGCTTCACAGAAAAACGTTCTTCGCAGCGCAAATACTTGTCCAAACTGTTCATTTATGTTGACTGAAAGTGTGAGTTGTTCACGCTGATGCATATGTCTTCTCTGTGGCTCTCCTTTCTAGGGTTTCTTGTTTTTATATTTTTTATGCTTATTGTCATGGCGGAGACAATTGGGTACAAATAATTGATAGCTGAATGTAAATAAATGAATAAAAACTGGGACACTATAAACTTGCAGCCTGAAGTGACTAAAAATTAAGCCTGCTTTATTCGCACGTTCCAATAAATTTCGTGTAGTTTTGCTTTAGGATTCATATACTACATTATGTGTCATGGTTTCTTCGGTTTCATTTGGGTCATGCATACGTTTAATACAGCTAGGGCTCTCTCTGCTGGTGATCAACATGTTCTCGAATCTTATATCGATGTGACGTACGAATGATAAAAACACAATAATATTTAACAACTCAAACAACTATTCTTCTACTTCTGTAAGTCGTGCAAATGTCTTAGAACGTCTCTAAAGCGCTTAGACGAAGCAACGGATGTTACGTCATGCACATAACAGAAGTCCTATGCCGTTACCAATCAATACCCCCGTGGTAATCCAAGAGAAGCTGTCGATTGCTTGAGGAGGGCGTTCTTTCTGCATCCTATAAACCTGCGTTTAAGAGGAAAAACATTCATGGTCACTGGTGGCCACCTTTTTTTTCGAACATTCTACGTGTCCCGAGAAGGTGTGCATAGTATATACTCCTAGATACAAGACTCAACAAAATCTGGAACGCATTTTGGTGACAATTCAGCGCGCACGCAGTAAACGCGGACTTAATAAAAGAAAACAGGACAACGGGAGTCAACTCACAACTCGGTTTTTTGTGGAAAATTAAGTACACATACATGTATAAACATACGCCAGTTGAACAGTAAATGTGCGAGGAAAAAAAACGTACACACATCACTACAACAATTTGCATACAGATATGGTGATGGAAGTGACATTCATGCAATCTGTAACTTAAACGAAATGTTTTGTTGAAAGAAAATGACAAATTGCCTTCGTCCTGAGATGAATGCGCGCGTACGCGCACCAAAGACTACTCTCTGAAGGGCCAAGTACACGTTGACGAACGATGCAGCGCAACGAGTGTGACATTCGGATGCGTCGCCTTCTCCTGCATGCCTTCTCTGAAAATTCAGTCAGTTACCCTGAATGACCAGAAGTTATCCTGACTGTGTATTACGTACGCGGCCCATGTCCATTCATTGTTCTTGAATGCAGCGATGATATTGTTAACGTTCGTTCGTTCTGTGCTCTTTTCCTGTCTCTTAAGGTTATACCTACCATTTTCCTTTCCATGCCTAAATGCTTCGTCCTCAGTTTAAGTTGAACCCCTTTTGAAGACTGCAGGCTTACGCTCCTCAGGTTAATACTAGTAAGACGCAACTGTTGTACACCTGGGCACAGCAATAAGGTAGCTGGCTCGGGCCACAGAGAAGTTCTTCTTTACGAGTACGTTGTGTTCTCGCCTGAAATCCAGAGAGCTGAAATCCAGAGAGCTGAAATTGAAATCCAGAGAGCTGGGGGGTTCGTATTTCAGGGTCCAGTTATTGATGGTGACAGCAAGGGTCATCATCAAAACTGAACTTTTCCAGCCAACTTTCTAATTCTACAGCACTGCTTCATGGATGTGATGCTTGGGATGAACTTCTTAAGTCAGCATGATGCCGTCATCGACCTAAGGTCTGAGGCAATAACGCTATGCACAGAAAAAGCACTGCCCCTGCACACGCCAGTAGGAAGGCACGCCTTGAATGTGCTGGAAGACCAAGCCACTATTCCTCCTCGCTCCAGCTTCAGCCTTTCCGTTGGCACACAAGAATCACACACATGCAAGGCGTCATCGAAGGCGACCAGTACCTGCTAATCATCTGCGAAATTTGCATCGTCAGAGAAATAGCTGAGCTGCGGGGAGGTAATGCAAGAGTGATGCTTACAAACATCAGCAACGAGTACAAGCACTTGAGCACAGCTACGACTGTTGCCTACATCGAAGAAATACTGAAAGCTAGCAATGCTTTCGCCGTAGACGATTCTGCTGAATGTACTCCGACGGCTCAAGCCCTTCAACCGGCTTTTGACGTTAATCCGAGCCTTCCGACGCATGAACAAAGATAGCTCAGAAACCTGCTCCTGATATACAAGAACTGCTTTGCGTCATCGTCGAGAACTCGACAGACCCCGCATCGGGAAACATAGAATCGTAACCGAAGAAAGTGCCAGGCCACTACGTCAGAGCCCCTGCAAAATGTGAAGCTATAAAGAAACAAGTCAACGAAATGCTACGCGACGACATCCAGCCTTCAAAGAGTCCATGGGCGTCACCGGTGGTGTCAGCGAAGAAGGACGGAACTCTACGCTTATGCGTCGACTATTGCTGCCTGAACAAAAT